TCCTAAGCATGCTGTTACCCAGCTAGCTTTCAGCATATTGCACTTGGCTACAAAAGGCTGCACACAAAAAAATCCAGAAATATTTGCAGGATAAGCCAAAAACACTCCCAGAATTTCCCCATGTTTGTCACAGTGTTTTAGCTTAAAAAGTAAGTTATCTGTTCTCTTCAAATGTAGGAGGTTTGAAGACTTCTCTCCAGCAGATTTGCCTGTGCAGCATGGCAGCCCCTTTCGCATCACTACCTTGCCTCTTGGAAGGGGGAAGAGCAATGCAAGGGAAACTAAAGCTGCTTTCTGCTGATGGCTGCTGGTTGACCCATAACCCACTTCACGCTACATTTGTTCTTTTACAGGTAGGGCAGAAAACATTCAGGACCGTTTGAAAAATAAACAAGCTTTAATAAAATATTACTCAGATGTGAATCAGGAATCTGTCGATAAAGAAACCAGTTTCTGTCACCTGTCATAAAGTTAGCAGCATTAGTGTTAGAGCAATTAAATGGTAGATAATACCATTCTATGTTTCCTTATCATTTTAAATTTCAAGCCTTGAGAAGGTAAGATGAGGCTTCAAGCCTTTGTGCAGACGTATTCATCCCCCAAGAGTAGCGCAGGGTGCCTTTACTCAGGAGACCCGAAAGCACGCTTTGGTGAATGCATGTGCACAGGAGGCCTCTCATGCTTTGCAGACCCATGGCTGAATCCTCACACCTTGTACAACATTTGGGTGGTTTTACAGCAGGAGAGCCTGGGGAGAAGGTGGGTGGGTTGGTTGGTTTGTGCTGACCTGCTTGCCCTTGAAGGGGTGATGCATCAAACATTCTCATACCAAATGCTGTCAGTGGCACAAAGAGGGGCCATGCTCTGATGCTGTTTTTCCCACCTACCAGCATCACCAGCCTCATTTCAGCTCCAGCCCCTCCTGAAGACAATGTGCTGCCTGTGTGGGTGAGCACAGCTGCAAGCCAGCCTGCACCCATGGTCCTCTGGGCACCTCGTGGCTCCTGACAGAAGCCTGACTCACAAATGTACTTCTCGTGCCATACTAAACATGTCTTGCCATACTAAAAAGGCCACTGGAAACCCATGAAGCACCGTGCTCAGGCACTGCCCTATGGGAAGAGGAAACCAAGCCCTTGCAGTATCAGATACCAAAATGCAAGGCCATGTATAATCAATGTAATATTTACCAAAATATCTTGCTATGCAGAGCAAGTTTCTGATGTACTTTTAGCTTGCTCTGGTTTAGGCCTCTGTCTGTACATGCTTAACTTGTAGAGAAAAAAGCAAATAAATGGGGGAGAAAAAACCACCTTGCACAAGCACGGGGTGAAAAAAAAATTATCTGTAAGTTTTTGTGTTGCATAAGTGCCCCTGGAAATAATCTGGTACATCTCCAAATAAAACAGAAATCTTTTATGCTTGTAAGTTTCTGTGTGGAATGACAGTAGTTTCTGTGTTTGTTAACTCTGTAAATGTTTGCTGTAGATACTATCTATGGCAATATTTTATTTAAAGAAGTGTATTAAAGTTTAAAGCAAAGAAACTCCTCCCTCAGCCTGTGAACACAACAACTACAACAATTAGGTAGTAAAAACTGAATTGAAAGTAGTCTTAGGTGTTAAGCTGTGCGTTTTACAGGTGAGCTGGAACAAAAACAAGTCCAGGGGCACAGCATACCCTGGGCTGGATGAGGAGCTCTCACTGAAAGCCCCAGCAGTCAGCAAGCACCAGCCAGAGTTTTGTCTGAGGTACAGCCAGTTATTGCCAAATGACTGGTTTTCTGTGTCGTGGAGGTGTGAAGACTTGGTGGTGGCTCACCATCTTCTTTTACTTGGTATCATGTGCTGCTTTGGAGAACAGGATAAAGATCCCCTGCACTGCCCTCAGGCTTTGATCCCCAATTCAGCCGTCTTTAGCCTCTTCATTTCCTCAAGAGTTGGTACCGGCAAGGGTGTTGATGATGAGCAGGATAAGCCACTAACACCATCCCTTCTGCAGAGCACAGTAAGCCTCATCATCCAGAAGGAAGAATAAAACCATAATGCTATGAAAATAGAACCATGGAAATGGTTAGATCTCCCCAGACTAGAACAACATTATAGCCTATATTTGGTGTCAGATTCCTCTTTGGACTAAAGTAGCCCTGACTTCTGGTCCATAGTCAAGTGAATGTGGAAGAGAGACTGGAATGGCTGTGCAAAGGCTTGCTTCCAAGTACAACTAATTCAAATTTATTATTCCCATGCTGTGAAAAATTCCAACTTCTACTTAAGTTTTTCTTCTGATGGGAAATTTCAAAATGTCTACATTTCATTTCACTTTTTCCACCAAAAAAAAAAGCCTGCTAGCAGGAAGCCTAGCAGGTTGCCAAAAGCAAGTCATTTGACATACAAAGTTTTTTTACAACTCCTGTCCAGCCAAAAGTTTGCTAAACCATGTTTCCATAGGACAATTGTAGTGATGAATCTTTGTTTTCCAGTGAAACATTGTTGCACTAGCTAGCTGGAGTGCAGATCTTTGTAAAATACATGCATTTAAATGTGTCTAAAAAGTTTACTGTATGTGCTTGGACCAAGGACTTCAGTGGCATGCCAGAAGAGATACCGCAGATTAACAGCAGCAAGGTAGGAGGTTTGAAATGTGGAAGCTTGTAATTACTAAAAGGAAACGAATTGTCCTCTTGTTCAACTCATATTAGGTATTGATCTGCCTATACTTATTTTATATCAAGAAAGAGAGGATATTTCTGGCAACATTTCCAAAGATTCTGGAAGATGATGCACTCAATAGGTTGAAAGACATACCCACATCTAGTTTTGAATGTCATTAGAAACTGGCTAATTTTAAAAGCATTTTTTGATCTGATGGCATATGATGGTCTGATGTTCCAGGAATTGCTAGTGTCCATGAAAAAGCGAGGAGGCCATGGAATAATAATTTTCTATCCCAGGTTACATATATGACTTATACAACCACATATTTTAAGCATTTCATCACAGTCTCTTGATCCCTTTCTGAAGCCCCTTATGTCAGTAAGAAGCAGAGCTTGCCTTCACCTCCAGAAAGGAGCCTCTGCTCACAAGTGGTGTGTACTTTAACTTCTTCCCTTAGAGTCAGCAATATTTGGACTGTAGCTGCAGAGGGGTGATTGAGGGAACCACAGGGACTGTAGTTTCTCCTATCTTTGGCTTCATTTCCAGAGATGCCACGGAACCTCTGTTCCCTTGGCTATAGGATGCCAAAGGTTGTAGATCCAAATATTAGTGACCAGATCTGGAAATGTTGCTCTGAGCATGCCATTACAGCACACCCCTGTACTTTGGCTGGCTGTAACAAGGAGATGGGAGAGGAGGGCAGTGGAATGAGGGTAATGAGGTTTTCAGTTTACAACAGATATTTGTATATAAAGGTTCAACTTAATACATTGCGTAGGAAGGCCATTCATCAACTGTACCATGGCACCTAACCAGCCTCCAAACTGTAAAAACACTTATTTTACCTGTTAAATTCCATAGGATTATACTTTGTTTATTTTTGTGTTCTGCAAAGTGTAAAAGAGTGCAAAAGTATTATTCTTGTTTGCATAGGAAACAAACCAAAACAAGTCAATTCCTGTCTGTGTTTTCTTTGCCTGGTCAGGCACTCCAGGTGAGGGCATGTGCTCCTTTCATATCTTGATTACAGCACTTCTAAAGAAAGCAACATGCATAGTCCTGCAACTTTGGAGGGTTAAGGCCATTACAGGTGAGTCCTATTCTGTTGCTCGTCAAACGGCTAAATGGAGCCATGCAATGGGTCATTTATCTGGTGTCAGCAGCTGAAACTTGCATGAGAAAAAGCTGTTCTAGCAGTGACAAAAGGAAGCCTCTCACGAATATGTAACACATGCATGTAACCCAAAACCTTGTATTTCTATTACTGTTAAGAGTGTTGCTCCAAGAACCAAATGAAGTCATGAATGTTGTTTTGGCGATATCTAGCTTAGGATACTTTAGTGCTTAAAATTAATTTATATAAAAATTAAACAGCACAAAAGCGTTTTAAAGTTGTTGTAGTGCCAACGGCCGGTCAGCAGGGTGTGAGTGGTGTTACTGCATCTCTGCATGTCCCGGGTATGTCAAATACACACGGTTCTGTGGCACTCTGGCAATATCCTTTCCACACCACAGAGATACATTACCTGTTGTGAACCCAGACGATGTCAGCAGCCAACAGAGATAACCGCTGTCATTCCCACTGCTGATGGGGAGTTGTCATTGAGATGCTGCCAACCAGACTTGCAGAGGAAGTTTGCTGCGATATTGAGATTCCCAGTCACTTGACCGGTAGCTCAATGCACACGTTGTTCAGAGCTATTATCTTGCAGCTACACAGTTCAAATGAAGTGCATTGCAACTATGTTAGGAGTGTATTTTGACAAAATCTTTCAACGTGAAGCACAGTTTAATCCACGTAAGATTAAAAATCTTTCCAAAATATATAAAAAAAACTATAAAAAAGAAGGGGAAAAAAATAAAAAACTCACCAAGAAAGTAAGAGATGCACTTTTTTTCTCGTTCAAGGACAAGCTTTTGTTACCCACACGGATGGTAGGGAAAAGTAGCTCCTTTTCTCTCGAGCTGCTGTGAGCTGCCATGCTGCAGGAGAGGTGTACTGCTAGGGAAGATGTACATAGGTGATGTGGTCTGCCCAGTGTTTAGCTTCATCCCATGGTGTGCAGAAAAAGGTGAAGTATGAGTCTCTCCTAGCTGTCCTGTGTGGCTGGCTATACTGCACAGAGTAGCTCTGTCATCTGGAAAGGGAAGCCTTTTCCAATCAATAATTCACCCCAAAGCTGCCACGCTTACTGAAATCATGTATGCTCCCTTACCTTGAAGGATTTTGAACTTCATCCTGAAGACCAGCATAGCAAATGTCTCCCTGTCACTCTCCGAATGCTCTGCTTGCACACTCCTGGGAGCTTTGCACTTGCTCTTTATAGCAGCACTGAAAGTCAGCAAGGTCCTGGGGGAATGACAAGAACCAAGCAGCTCTTGTCCAGCAACAGTGTTTGGGAACCATAAGAAAAGATCCAATTTTATCTTAGTTCTCATGAAAAGTGTCACAGGATGTTTAATGTCCTTTCTGAGGAAAGACCTGCTGTTTTCCAGATCTTGCCTGAAAACACATGCAGTATTCAGCAAGCCACTTAGTTTATCTGTCTTGGAAAAACAGAAGGCTGCTGGAATTTGAAACTTGTTCCAAGAGTCTAGGGTCCAAATCTCTGTGAGTCCTTCCCCTGGTCTGGGGTTTTGAACTGTTTGAAAATTTAAAGACTAGCAAGCAATGGCAGCAGGACTCCTAATGGTGTATGGGTGTGCAGGGCTGGTGTATGTGATAGCAGGCCATCCCTATGCTGAAGTTTTGGTGTTATTTCCACTCTCGAGTGTTGCCTGACTTTGCAACAGGTTAAAAATACCTTATGAAATGCCTGAGAGCACTGATCCACAAATCTCAGAACAGACTTTGCCTCTATGGGGGGGGGGGGGGGGGGAAGCCCTCTTAATGCGGTGAAAGCACCCGTGGCACTGGTGAGACGCGCTTTTCGATTTTCTTGTCGGTGAAGGTACCACGAAGGAGGGACTCCGATAGCAGCTTGACGGAGCCGGGCGAGGGGAAGAGCCCTGCCGAGCCCACCGGGGAGGGGAACCGGTCGATCAGGTAGGCGGCCAAGGCGGCCGGGGAAGCTCTGGGGTGGGGGCTGAGCCGAACCCGAGCCCTTCCCTGCCCGCCGCGCTGGGGGCCGCGGTCACCGCCGCGCCGGCATCACTCGCCCCCGCCCCGGGCCCGCGGAGCCACCGCCCCCGCGGGGCAGCACCGGCGGCCGCGGGGCTCCTGCCGGGGCCGTAGCCTGCAGGTAGGGGCTCTGCGGGGCCGCGGGGCTCGTCCCGGGAAAAGCGAGGAGGGAGACGGGGAGCGACCCCGCGGGGAGCGCGGGCCGGGGGCGCGGAGCGGGGCGGGCAGCGCGGGTGGCAGCGCTCCGGTGGGGCTTCAGCCGGGTCGCTCCCATGCCCTGCCTTAGAACTGCGGAAACATTGGAAAATAAATAAAAATCACTCTAAATGCCACTGTTAAATTAAGAAACTGTATACATGTGGATACATATATATATATTTATATATATATATATAAACTGTTGGTCAGGTGAGATGCTGGTCAGTTAAAGACTAAACAGCGTTTCAAGTTGCTAGAGGGTATGAGGAAACTCAATCATCTTTTATTTCTGTTGCATAAGCAGAATAAACGTACCTGTTCAGAGGCGGGTGTGAGAGGCTGTGCTGTGCCTCGTCGCCGTCTCCGTGCGTGCGGAGTCGCGGCTGTCACCGGGTCCCCCGTGGCTGTGCGTGTGTGCGAGCGGTTCCCTAAAGAGCTCCAAAAACCCAGGCGCAGACTGCTCAGTGACAGGCTAGAGAGCTGGCCTGTGGCCTTCCCCAGGAATAGTCAGCTGTGGAAGTAGTTAATTACAGTGATCCTTATCCTGAATGGCCTTGATATTTCTTCTGGGATATTAATATAGTTCGTTTCCAGGAGAATTCTTAGTCCCTTGTAGGACTTAGCCAGGTGTGCAGTAATAGGCTCAGGCTAAATGGTATTGTTGGCATGTCTTGCAGGAAATTTTGTGTTCACAGGCTAAGTTCAGGGAAACTATCCAATGAAAAAAAAAAAAAAAGCCCAAAGATCCGAGTATTATCCTTATTTAGAACTTTCTGATAATTTGCCATTCATTTATTGACCTGTTCTGTTTAATATCTCTAGGAGTAAGTCCTTAATTAGGTATTTGGGATGAATTTGGGTTTGTGTGATTTCTGACTGAAATGATTTCATTAAGTTAACAAGCTGGTTGGGGCAGTGAGTATGTTTGTTGTTGTTAGTCTGCTCCTGCAGTGGCAATGAGGAAACGTTTCCGTTAGTGCTGGGAAACTGGAGGATAACTTGGAACTTAATGAAGTGAAACAGGATTGCATTTTGCTCAGAGTGATCCTATTATGCCTCAGTTAGGGCCATGTTATTGCTCACCTCAAATCGTTTGCTGTTACTGTCTTTTCACATTTGTTTTTTTTTAGCTATACGTGGGCCATTATGTGTTTTTGTTTTATATTTTTTTCAGTTGTATTGTTTTTAGTTTTTAGTTTTCCATCTTTTGCAGCAGTGTAACAGAAGCTCTGTTTTAATGGAAGGTTTCTCTGGGCTTAGAGGTTTCCATGTTAATGCCTTTAAAATTCAGTGTTTAACTTCTGCCTTAGCCTCAAGCTGGAAAGTGACAATGAAAGATAGCATAGGACACTGTGCAATTTCATTTTACAAAGTTTTATCAGAATTGATTCAACTGATATGTAAACAGGGGAAACCTCAGGAACTTTCTTTTCCCCCCAGCCTGCACATTCAGTTCAATTTCAGGCTGTACACTGTTTACCTGACAAGTGGCTTGCTACGGGATGTCTCCTGACTAATTGGATTTGCTGAGTTGGTTCCTGTCTGAAAGCGTGAGGAAGGGGACTAGGACACCCCCAGGGATCCCTTCCAGATCTGTATTCCCAGGCCAAGGTCCTACAGACCGGGCACAGAGGGGGAAGATTTTTCAGATGTTTTGGTGCGAACACAATTGCTTCCCGAGGGAGAAATCTGGCATGTTTCCTGAGAGAACCGTGCTTGCGTAAGCAGCCCCCTGCCACCCTCTGAGCTGTGCTAGTACAACCATTTGTGGGACTGGTGGTAAATTGCATTGGGGGAACTGCAGTGGGTTCAAAAGCACCTTTTCTTCCTTTTTATCAATTACTTTTAACTCTGAATTGTCTGACTGTGTGGCTGCTGTGTCAGGGCTGAGAAGGTGGCCTGGAAGGAGGGAACATGTGGCAGGGAGCAGGAGGTAAGAGCTGTTTCTGCCAGCATCACTGCTGCTGAAAGAAGTAATTGCTTATCAAATTGTGGTCAGTGGAAGATGACATATGGTTAAGGCAGTTGCCTGAAAAACTGAGTGCTCAGATATCTCAGTTGTGTGCACATGCAGTTGGCTGTATACACGAAGATCTGATTCTGTATTTCTGTTGTAATTCTGAGTTTTCACCTAATGATTTTACTTTTGTGATGTATAGCTGTATGTGTAACTTCAGGATACATTCCCTATACTATTCTCTCTTGTAGTATGAGCATTTCAAAAGACTGTTTTTCTGGAAAATAGACCTAGGCATCATAAGGCTATTAGTTTTATTAATCAGATTATATTTACCTGGATAGGTGAATGCCTAAAATTCTAAAGAGGAAGATTAAACCTAGACCCCTAAAAGAGTGCCTCTGGTCCTAGAGAGCATAATTGTCAGCTGTACTCTCTTTTAGATGTACGTAAAATGTTAAATATACTTTTGAATGTAGTGCAGACCTGCTGTGAAATTATGAATGACAGAAATGATTAGGCGAATAGCACTTTTAATAGGTATGGTGAGACTGAGAAGTCAATGGAGTGTAACCTTGCTATAATCTGCTATAATTTATTTTAGTCTGGAAAGCACTGATACTTTTGTGCATTGTTTTAGGACTTGTTCTCATTCCTACTTCAGACAATTTCTTTCTATCATGATCCTATTGTAGTGAGTAAGAAAACATTCGCAACACCTTGTCTATGTAGCACATGTGCATATTTAGAGAATGGCAGTACACTTTCTTGTTCACAGAACTTGAAGGACTAATTAGTTTCTATGACGGTCTTTATTCAACAGAGAAAAATCATAAGCCTTTTTTCTTCCAACCTAAACCAAGAAACTGTATGGGAGTTAAGAAAAATATCTTACCTTTACTGATTGTCCTGTGGTGGGTCACTACAACTGCAGTTTGGATTATCTGTAGAGTCTCATGTAGACTTAAAAAAAACAGATTAAAAATTAAAAATCTTCATTTTTATCATTTTTTTCTAAGAAGAAAGGTGTTTCTTGCCAGTAGCCTTCTGAGAGCCAAATACATATTTTATGAGTATATTGTTGCTTTTATTAATTGACATACATTGATGTGACTATGAGCAGTAAAACTGCAAGCTACAGCTTGCCTGCAGGAGGTGGGCTCCCAACCTGCAGTATGGAGAGATTTGGAAAGGTACAATTTTTAAAACCCAAAATGTAGACATCCAAGCTAATAACTCAATTTTTCTTCACGGACAATGAAGGTGTTTCCTATTCAGCTTATTGAACTGTGAAGATAGTTTTGTTTTCCTCTCTGGAGAAGCTGTCTGAACTTGCTGTGATGTGGGATGTGGAAGAGCTGTTGCCAATAGGATAATATACCGAGTCAGCTGCTCTGGATGAAGATACACAGGTGAAGACTGTCTTTTACTGGATTGGCTCCTTGTCTCTTAGGCTTGTAGGACTCTGGATATATCTACACACAGGGCAAGCTGTGATCTTCCAAATATAAAATCTTTGTTGTTCAGGTGCCTTATCCTCCTGTTTTTGGAAGAAGCATTCTCCATTTTCAGTACTGGAAGGTGGGTGGTGCTGTATGCCCAGCTGCTCAGATGACACCTGTCTGGCATGGTCAGACCATGGTAGCACAGCTCAGGAGCCCACAGAATTCAGATATAGCCAGAAGGCACTTAAGTTTCTTTCCTTACACTGTAAAAGCAAAATCCATCACTTTTGTCTCCACAGCATTTTAAGCTGTGCAGGCCCCTGAGGCAACAGATCAGCATTTCAGCAGCAAGATGACTTATTAGTTGTTAAGATTAGCCAGCAATTTGTGGCAGACTTCTTCCCCAGAGCCTGCAGCAGCTGGGAATTGTAGAACTGGCTTGAGGGGATGTGACAATATATTTTGTTAGTGAGTTAGGTTGATCTCAGTCTTCATTAGTGAAACTATTGGTTACTTTGCATATAGTACAAATGGTACTGGATAGTTGTTTCTCAGCTGCAGTTCAGTGTTGGAGAACTACAGGTTATCCACAAACTAGGATATTCTTACTTTTCCTTGGGACTTAAAACGAATGAAACAGCACTTTTTGTTGGTATTTGGTTTAGATATCGTATTTATTAGTTTCTCCTTGTTTCATTTGATGGGATAATGGAGTGAGAAGGCAGTAAATTAAGCAGTCTTTAGTGTTTGCTTTTAGACAGTATCACCTGTTTTCCATGGAAGGATTGTTGGTCTCTTTTTTTCCGTTTCTGATGTTTTATTGTAAGATGATTTTGTGGGCTTTAGTGTGAATGCTGTCTCAGAGCATTATGTAAATAACAGAGAAGAATGAAGCAACTGTATCTTTTTATGTGTGTTTTATGTCTTATCTATGTGGAGGATGTACACCCACACTTACATGCACCAGGATTACATAGGCTTACATTTTGCATCAACTTGCAAGTTGCGAACACATTTAAGTGAATAGGATTAAGAATTAATGTAAAAACAAGGCATCTGAGATAATCTAGGCTTCTTTTACTAATAAATATTATTTTTTTTTAACTTTTCTGGTTGTCACTAGAATCTGTTCAGTTTCTAGGGAATATTGTCCTTGAATGCTTTTTGAATGGTAAGTACATTCGTTGCTGCCAGAGGATTGTCATAAGTGTCCAGAATTAATGATAATGGGCAGTCCTAGACCATATGTAGATATTTATTTATAATGCACATTATTGTTCTTTTAACTTATTAGCGGGTAATTTATGGAGAACCAATTTGTCACC